TTGACATATTGGCGTAATCTTTCGAGTTTCAAGTCTTAATATATAATTATCGTTTTGAAGNAGATTATCTAGAATTGGATGATTGTGAGAGTTGGTTGATTTTATTATTATTCTTTTTTTTTTCTTAACTGTTGCAAATAATAACATACACAAAATCTGGCTTTTGTGGCTTGTTTGTCCGGGTATAACCCAAACCTTGTCGACCGATTTGGCTCTTGTGCATGTCCAAGAGCTCGTCAATATCAGTCTTATCTTTGTTCATTTTGCTCACAATCTGAGATATACATTCAAGCTCAGCTGATTTTTCCTTCATATTCTGGTCGCATTGGACTAAACGGTTCTTCAGGTTCACATGTTCGTTCATTACCCGAGAGAGTTCACCCTTGAGAGTTCCAATCTCCTTATCTTTATCACCTGCAATTTTCTGAAACGAAAAAAGTTCAGTTCTTAAAGATTCAATAACCTGATCCTTTTCTGGATTTGCCTGCTTGGATGACTTCAGTCCATTCTCCATGATGACAATTTGTGCAAGCTTCGCAGCACAATCGGGCTAATTGTGTAGTTCAAATATTTATAATTTTTAATTAATGAATGAATCCCGTCAGTTACGGGATTAATTGGATGGTAACTCTTTATTTTTTGTTTAGCCGTTATATTATAATTATCCAAATAATTATATATATTTTTTTTTTGTTGCATATAAATAATAATTATGTTAAGCTAAGCATACTTGCAAATAAGTTTCTACTAGTACAAAGCCCGTGCGATGCACGGGATGTACATTTTTAAGGCTATTTATCCAGACTTATAATTATATACATGAATAAAGAAAGATGTACGGAATATATATAGTACGTGACCTGGGCAAAGCACGAAATATATTTATTTAGAGAATATTATATTATAAGATGCAATATTCAATAAAAGTTTATAATACGCAAGAAAATTATACAATGTTCAATAAAAGTTGTATAATATTCAAGTGGAGTCTTAAAGTCTCTTGTACATTAAGACTACTGACAAAATAATATTTTAATCAATGAGTTTCCTTTCTTTGTAGCCAAATTGTGAATGTGATTTGAGGAGTACAACAAATCGATATATAGCTGACTTGCTTTTTTCATTGTAGTTTTTTTTTTTTATATAATGAATTTAAAGATATTCTAAAATATAGCAAAAATTAATTTTTTNNA